AAATATTTATTTATTTATTTATATCAAATGGCAGGCGTTGTGAAAGTTATCATTAGCCCTTTAGTTGACTTCAGGCTTCACTCAGGGGAAGGAACATCAAAGTGAAACAAGTCGGGAGGGAGAGGGGGAACGGAAGAGAGTTTCAAAGATGTAAAAGAGACAGACACAAAGGTAGAAAAGAGGTGAAGTGAGTACTGTGCAGGTATTCGAATATGACATACAATGGGGTGAGGGTAGTTTGAAGTCAAAAGTCAACTGCCAGTTAATAGACTTTTGCCGTATGAATAAACGTTGCCCAGGGTGCACCACGTGGAGGTAAGTCTATCGCACACCCCGGGATTAAAATATAACCGCGCTTAAATGAAAATCTCATGAAAGGTAGAATCACATCGCGTTTTTGCTTTCCCCGAATCACATTCTTCTTCTATGTGGTCTTTCGTGACCGTACTTTCACGCGTTTGATGCCAACTTTAAATAGTTGAAATGGGCTATTTTCACTGCTACGCACTACTTTTGATACTCATTTTCATCAGAATGAAGGAGAGCGGTTCTGATTGGTCAATTCTCTCTCTCTCTCTCTCTCTCCCATTTAGTAGATATATTTCAATCGGTGTTGATCATTCTAATAGCTGCTAACATCTACAAATGAATAACAGTCTCGTTGATTTTTCTCCCCTCTCTCTTGGCTACTGGTATCGGCACCACAGTGTCCTTTCTCCATTCTAGGTGCCAAGATATGTCTATTCAGTTGTACTAAACTATGCTTAGTGCATCAAGTGGCACTCTTAACTATAGTAAGGCCGTTAATGCTGCTATTTCATAATTACACTCACTGTTGGAACTACTTGCTAAGTTATTAGTAATATGATTTATCTGGTGTCTGGTGCTGTAGGTAACAGAAATCATCGCACACTTTCATTGAATTTTAAGTGTTGGTACTGGCTAAGGTAGGCTTTGTAGAAAACAAGTTTCTCATCATAATAGGTTTGTTGTAAAACACTGGGAGGTTTCAAGTATTTCATACCCCATTCAAGTACATGTCGAAGATGCGATGCACATTTTTATTAATTCAAAATCTACTAGCTTGAATTGATTTGGCGGGCATGGAAGGATCAGAATTGCCGCCCTAGAGAGAAATGGAATGCATGTTCTGTCTTGGGAATGCTTTTTAAGGCCTTTAGTTCGCATAGAATTTGTTTCACCTACTTAATAACTATCAATAACTTTCTCCCTTCACTAATGACATGAATGTGCGTTTTTTTAATGATATTACCTGAAAGCTAAAGCAATGAAATAAGAGTGGAGCATTTGTTATTGTCGTGTTTGTCTGAATGGAGTCAAAGTGTGTGTGCTGACGAGGGAGAGAGGGAGAGAGTTCAAGCAATCAGTCTAGTCAGTTCCACCATTGCGACCATGCAGTAGGTGATTTTAAAATGCGTAGAAGAGCTAAAACATGATTTTATTGCTACCAGTCTTCTAATTATCTGTATTTACACCCTTAGGCTAGTGCTTTCAGTAAATATTTTACCACAACTTGTCTGGGCTATCCAGTTGTCTCCTCTGAGCAATAGCATTTGGTGGTGGGGAGGAGATAATCGATTTAGTTAATCTGATTGCCCTGCCCGGTGACCTACTGTTCAGCGTGCTCGCCTGTTACGTCAAATGTCGTGAGATCATTTGGTGTCATGGGTGATCAACCGCATTGTTTACGTTGGTACATCAAGAGAGGTGACAGAATGAAAAAATTCTCATTATAGCAGCTTCAAGAGATCTCCCCTATGTGCCAGTCAAGTGCTGTGAATACTCCTCATTGGATTTGAGAAGTTTTTGTTTAAGCGTCTTACTGTCACTAGCTTTGCAATTGTGGACTTTGACTTTCGTCAATCACCTATTGTCAAGTGCGAACTGCTAAAGGAATCAAAATCTTTTCTTGCTTTGGATGCATTGTTTTTTTTTGTATTTTACTCTAAGTTGATGACAGGTAGCCAGAACATCTTGGATTTTGACATTCTAAAGCTCGTTAAGATTCACTCAAGGGCAACTTGTTCTTCCTGTATGCTTTATTTGCTTATAAATGTAGGGTTGTTGGAATGTGTTAGGTAGGAAACAGTCAGTAGAATCTTGTCTATTATATTTGCTTTCTGAAAATGCCATCAGTTAGTATTCATGTGCAATGGGGCAATTATTACGGTAACCGAATAGAGATGGGGGACAAAATACGACTGCAGACGACTGAGTTCAAATTTGTGTCCCCTTGTCCTTGACTTCTTCTTGGGGTTGCGTGAAAAGTCAATTCCTATTGGAGCATAGCTCTCAAGGCCAATTGACAACAACTGCACTGATTCTAACGAATGGAGATATATAAATTCCTTTGTTAGTTCTTTCAGCCGGTGTAGGATGATGCCTAAATTTTTGGCATCAATTAAGCCTCTTTTATCCTGACAGAGTCGTTGCCATCATTATTTTATTCATTGTTTAATTATTATTATTATCTAATGTCCTTTTTTATTTCATACTTTAGCAGGTTCCCCTATTTTGGCTCTATTTCCCTTCGCAGACTTTACAATTGATGGTGAAGACTTAGATTAGATTAGCATATCAGTATGTGTGTGTGTGTGTATGTGCTTGATTGATGCCCTATAACAACTAGTATCACTTTTCAGTGTTTACTTGCTTTTATATTTTATTAGGTGTTAATTTCTTTTTATTTGTTTAGATTAATGAACTAATGGCTTCGTTCTTTAGTGCTTGCCAGTAATTTTGCATTACAGTAGTGATAACTCATTTTCCTTCTTCAGGATCACCAGCAGGTGCAGTCGGGCTCTCCAACCACTTTTGCACCTCATTCCACACCCGTACAGCCTAGAGGCCAGGTAACTCAAGGTCAAGGTGCTGGTGGAGGTGTGGTTAGGCCACCAGTTCAGCAGCAACAGCAGCAGCAGCAGCAACAACAACAGCAAGTTAATCAACAGCCCTTCTTAGCGGCGGGACAAGTAATGCAAGGTAGTGCGCCAGTTTTAGCTACTTCTGCTGCTGCTGCTGCTAGTTCTGCAGCACCTCAAGCCGCTGTTGGAATGCATCCTGGACTTCTGCAAACAGGTGCCCCTGCTTCATCTTTTCCTCTTCTCAATACAATCTCCAGCGGAGTTAATGTAGGTCCTATGGACCAACAACCAGTGCCGGCCAATGTCAATTTCAACTACCTATCTCAGCAGCAGACAACTACTGGCCAACAAGTTCAGCAGCAGCAGCAGCAATCGGCTCCTAATTTTGCTGCGAGTAATGGACCTACGAACTATAATCCTCAACATCATCAACAGGCCATTAGAATGAGTTCGTGATTTGGCTTTATTGATTTTGGTGTTTTTTTTCTGGAACTCCTTCCAGTTGAGGGGGGAAATTAGACGGGCTCGATCTCCTTTGTATTTAGTGAAAAGGATATTTGACGGACTATACAGCTTTCAATGGTAGCTGAACGAATGAAAATAGGGCTTTTCTTGTTGAGAACTCTTGTTGAGTCAGGATTTGCTCTTACATACGCTGGAGAAACAGATGACTAGGCTATCCAGTAACTAAGTGCACATTATTAGGCAATTTAGACTTGATTTACTTAAAAGGACTATGCATTTTCTTACGTATCTTTATGTCTTTTTTGGTCACTTTAACTAATCTCCATTCAATTGTTCTCTGCTTTAGATTTTACTAATGCAAATAAGCTGTTGAAATAAGCACGAGCAGTCGATTGAATTAATCACAACTGCTCGTATTAAATCTACCTATCGAGTGAGGGAGAGAGAGAGGCTATGTACTTCTTGAAGGTGGAACGATTTGTTACACGCCTAGCACTTTTTATCCGTTCACTTTAAAATTGTAATCTCCATTGTGGAAGTTCTATGATCGGTGGGTTGCAATCTTGGTTGTGAATGGTCGTGTCGTCTGGGAAATATGATGCTCATTATTGAGCTATTGATTCCTATCAACCCCAAATTTGAAGCATACTGGTTATCATACTTCATTAAAGTATAAGCATAATCTAAAACACCTTTTGTTATTACAATTCTGTACACTGTAATCTATTCTTTGTTTGGACTGATCGTAGTTAGGCCCTGAAATGTCCTGTTTTGTGTTTTAATGTCTTTTTTTTACTCCCTTAGGTGATGAACGACCACATGATAGAGAAGTGACTTCCGACACTGAGGTAAGCAGCATCTTCGTTATTCTTATGCCAGTATGAGTAACTTGGTCACACACCGCTTTAGGCATGTGACCATCACATGCTTACGTACATCTATTTCTGAACTGCCTTATCACTAGTGATTTTTTAAAAACTGGCAATTCCCATTGCCTGATGATACCATCTCAAAGCACGCTTTCATTGGCTTACACTTGATTTGCATGTGTTCCTGCAGAAACATGTGTATATATACTTTGCATTTTTTGTTGGCTTGTGCACAGGTGATTGGTCAAACGGATGGGGTCACTAACTATGCAACCTTACCAGCTCTCCATCACACCACAAATCCCCAACTTGTCTCCATTGCCAGCTCACCCACGCTTATTGCTAAGGTAATATTACTCTTCTTATCCCCTAATTTCCTTGCTATTTTCCATTTTGTTTTTTTTTAAATTTTGTATTTCCTTAACGCTAATCGTATAACTGCATATGTTTTATCCATCTCTTTCTCATTCTTCCACCTTCCGAAAACGGGTATGCAATTTGATTTTATTGGTAATTGATCATTAGGCTTTAAGATCGAGAGATCGATTGAATGAGAGCAGTTTGAGACGTCCAGTTCCACGATTGGGTCTTGGGGCCTCAGCTTCCTCGTTGGTGTATAGTAGTCTGCATCGTCGGAGGATTCCTATCCATGGTCATAGCCACCAGCATCAGCATCGCAATCATCCTCGAGCAGTATTTGGGTCACCAAGGCTCCTTCACACAGTGTACAATTACTCCTTGGCATGTCATTCCTCCCGTAAACCTCTGCGGGTTTTTTCAGACCATCAGTATGTTGGAGTTATGAATCATGCCTCATGGCCATCGGCCTCCAATACGTCTGGACAGACACTGCTCTCTTCATCGACTCTCCGTTTGCTTGCTGTAGGAATATCTTCCCACGATTTTACACTTTCATTTCTCTCCTAGCATTTCATTTGCTCACTAATCGCTTTTGGTTTTCCATCTGCAGTAATCCACTTTACCTCCCTCTTTTTATGAGTTCGGCTTCTTTAGCGCGTCAATCTTTTAGATTTTCTCCGACTATGTCTCCTGATTTATGTGCCTTTTCATTTTTTTTTGGTTCAATGATCACGCTGATTATCAGACCAGTAGGTTATTTTTTTTATCTTAGTACAATCACTCCGTTCCGTGTGAGTTTAGCAATTTCTAATCGCTTTTGGTTTTAGAGGCATTTATCAATGATTGTGAGGTCGATTTCGTGATTTTAATATGGTTTACCTTGAATGTCTGCTTTTTCGACTGTTTTTTTATTTATCTCCAGAAAATAATGTCTTTATGTTTAGATAAGACCCCTGGTTTTGATTCAATTTTTTCATGGTATTTGCGTAAAGACCACATGTTGTTAATTCATCAAAGCCTATGCTTTCGAACCACGCTGATATCTGTATTGAGGGAGAAAGCTTTTTTTCTTTTGGCGTTCTACCTAGTTTTAGCTTTCCCATTCTATAGATTTTCGCTCTTAGATTACGGCTTTGTCGCACTCATCGCCAATTTTACTCGCCCATTATTGTCTTGTGCCTACTTCGTCCGCACTCACGTTCAGTGCGTGCGTGCGTGCACGTACGTCCTGTTCATTCATTGGTCGAGACAGGCCAAGCCCTGAGCCGCTCTGTTGTACCAAAATTACAATTTTTGGTTGGGGGGGNGGGGGGGGGGGACGTGGTGTTTTGGCAAAGATATATTGAATTCTCAATTTGCTGGGGTAGTTGCTGAGTTGGGTTCAAGTTATGGTCTATTTACTTCCTCCTTCTTTGACTGTCTACTTATGCATGTGTCTCAACTTCTTGTAGGTTCTGGAATTTGGTAAGCCCATTACACTGTCTGGTTTCCATTCTGTTCTGCATCTCTAATTTTTTGTTTTCAGATTCATAACTCAGATGCCTTCCTTTTACTTTTGCCCTCCCCCCCCCC